GCACTATTGAGTGACTATTATATCCAATGGAGAATTCAATCTTTGGTCACAGCGTTAAGGGCTCCAGGATTTGGTCCCATCAGCCCTCTTTGAAATGACCTACAGAAATTATTTTCTCTAATGTGTACATACCTTACAAAAAGTTCTGCTCAGTCCACAGCTGTGATGCCTGTATAACAGAAGTATTTCAGGTTTCATTTTCAGAGATGCTCATGTAAAGTTCTGAAGTCAGCTACCCCAGTAAACTAGAAAACAACTCCAGAAATCTAGGCATAGACTGTTCCATGCTAGGCATAGACTAGCAATGTCTGGGTACTAGAACAGTGCTGACCTTCATAAGTGTTAATTAAAAGCTAATAAAATGTTCCCAACAGGCTGAATGCTAACAAAGTAGCAGGAAGAAAAACCTAGTTGGGACTTTGTTTTACGGTCATGTCCACAGCAAATGAGAAACTGCATTCTAAAAGCCTTGGTAATGACCGTCAAAACCTGACAGATAAAACAAATTACTTGCCATAGCTGTTTTAGTTGGGCCTCTTTGATCTTCAATGGAGTGCACTTCAAAGTTTGCCACCTACAGAAAAGGATTTTAATAACTGGGACTGATTCGGTTCCATTTTCATTCATACCTAAGCTTTGTTGCGAAACATACATGTCTTCAGGCAACTTTAATCTTAGAGCTTTCATGTTTTAAAATATAGTTTTAATATGGATGTTCAGAAAGGCTATTTTCACTCAGCCTATTCAGAGCAGTTGAACAATTTGCCCATCATCATAACATCACTGAAAAAAAACAGTAAAAACACCCAATGGGCTGTTTAAATGTAGTTTTTTTCATTAAATACAAGGAAATGAAAATCTTACCTATAGTCTTTTAAGATCCAATTTCCTCAAGCAGTTCACTATAGGATCCTAGAAGTTAAATATAGCAAGTACATTGGTGTTTATCCCTTCATCTTTCCTAATATTGAAAAGCCATATTATATCCAGGTTTTACTCACAAGCCTAGCAAAAATGTTACAGGTCTCATTGTCACCACTGCAATAAAACTACAGGGATGGAAGCAAAACCTGTGTTCTCAATGTAGCCACATTAACAGTTTATGAACACCACTAACAAGTGCCCATTTTCAGTAGAATGAGGCTTTATACATAAGTTTCCCAAGCTTAAGAGAATGTGCAAAAAGCTTCTTCTCCACCTGTACAGCTCCAGTCCATGGGGTCGCTAAGAGTTGGACACAACTGAGCACTTTTTCATGCATTGGAGAAGGAAATGGCAACCCACTCCAGTGTTCTTGCCTGGAGAATCCCAGGGATGGGGGAGCCTGGTGGGCTGCCGTCTATGGGGTCGCACAGTCGGACATGACTGATGCGACTTAGCAGCAGCAGTAGCACCTGTATAGAAGTTCTGCTGTTTTGCTAAGCATGCTATCAGTAAAGGAAAACTGCTAAAAGCAACAGAAAGTGAAAAGCGAAATACCTGTTTAGGGTCAGGAGATGGGATGTTTAGTTCTTCATGACAACCATAGAAAAAAAAGTATTAGTTACTATTGAAGATTATGTCAAACTGAACAGCATAAGAAACTAAAAGGATACTGTATCAGTAGAAATACCAGGTCTGACATGCACAAAGCAAAGAAACCAACGATGCCAGATACTGAATTTATATTGCACTGTCTTTTGAACAGCCAGCAGGAACAAACTGCTGAATGCAGATACCATGCAGTGCAGTTATGATTGAACTGGAACCACTCCAACCTCATTCTGTAATGATACTCTGAGAAACTTACTTACACACAGACCTCTAAAATTTTTTAACATGTAATTTTTTCCTATTTGTCATTCTAGCAACGCAACTACATTAACTCTTATCTTAAACTATAAACTTAGTATTACCTTTTTACCCTCTCTATACCTATAAAACTTACATAGGAAACTATCCAATCATACCTGATATTTACATGCTAGTTTAATAAAAGGTGCAAGGGACCAGGGCATTTCCATGTCCTACACATGCTGTGTCTTCATTTTTTTCCAAATCTGTAAGTACAAATATTGCAGCAAATTTTTGGCCAAAATCTTGATAATTGTTTTACACCTAAATAACTAGCAGTCACAATAGTAATGGAATGCCATACTCAAAATTTACATTGTTTTCAGAACTTCTGAATCCTATTGGAATAGAAATTAAATATTCTGCTTACCTCTAAAAGCTTTAAGTTCAAATAATATTAATTCCTGCAGATACCAAATAAAAGATTATGGGTTACTTACTCATGATTAAAAAACAAAAACTTAGATATATGCTTACTTAAATATTTTGTTATACTCAGCTCTATCAGAATTAAGTTTTAATTCATATCTGTATCATTCAGCAGTTGAACATTAAATTCATCATCTGAACTGGAATGGTAAACCCCCCCAAATTCTAGTCACTAACTAAAAACTTACCTAAGTTATCACACCCTAAAACTTGACAGATATCATTGGGATATGCCAATACCTAAGATAAAAAAAAATTGTTAGGTTTTTCATAGTTTAATTGGCAGCTATGTCTTGTAGTTCTTTCCCACAGATCTAACAGGTAGTTCTATGAGTAAAGGAAACTACATGGTTACTCTATGAGGCGTTTCCAACGACGTAGGTTTACAGAAAAAGCCCCATCGGGATAGACCTCAACTGTTGCTTAATCATTATTTAATTAATTTTAAATTAAGTAATTTAAAGAAATAATACCATGAATTAATCACATGATATGTAGTTTTAAATCAATGCTTAGGAAAGATAGTATAAAGTACCAAGTAGCTATTACAGCTGAACCAAAAAATTGCATATGTAAATTTAAGCTTGATTATTAAGAACTTTATTACTACAATGTGTTTAACCTTGCAGTGCCCACATTACTGCAAAACTATTTAAATGAATTTTTGGCTTTAAATTGAGAACTATAATATAAAATATTCTCATTGATAACAATTATGAAAATAGAGAATGTTAATATGTCTGATGTTCTGGCCATTTGGGGATCACTGAGGACAAACTTGGCATTTGTGTATCATTCAGATTTATGAAATTATATGTCCTGTGTAGTTATTTCTAGCATTGCACTATTAAATTTTCTACTTCATTTTAGTATATGTATCCCTTAATTGTGGGACTTCCCTGGTGGTTTACTGGTTAAGACTCAGCACTTCCACTGCAGGGGGTGTGGGTTCTATGTTCAACATCACTATTAGAGAAATGCAAATCAAAACTGTAATCAGGTACCATCTCACATTGGTCAGAATGGCCATCATTTAAGTCTACAAATAAATGCCAGAGACAGTGTTGGAGAAAAAAAAAGGAACCTTCTCCTACACTGTTGGTGAGAATGTAAATTGGTACTGCCACTACAGAAAACAGTAGAGTTACCATATGATGAGCAATCCCACGCAAAGAAAAATATGGTTAGAAAGGATACAGGCACCTGTGTTCACTACAGCACTGTTCCAAGATACGGAACCAACATAAATGTCCACTGAGATGAACTGATAAAAGATGTGTGGAAGGGGTGTGTATATTACTCAGCCATTAATAGGAAAATGATGCCATTTGCAGCAACATGGATGGATCTAGTGATATACAAAGCAAACTAAGTCAGAAACAGGTATCATTTATATGTGGAATCAGATATGGACTTGTGGTTGGACAGGAGATGGGGGTGTGGGGGAGCCATGGACTGGGAACTTGGGATTAGTAGATACAAATTCATAAGATAAACAAGTGCTTACTATATATAGCACAGGGAATTAATATTCTGTAATAGATCATAAAAATAAAGAAAAATAAAAATCATAACTGAGTCACTTTGTTGTACAGCATAAATTAGCACTGTAAATCAACTATACTTCAATAAAATTTTTTAAAATAAATTATATAGAGGGTGTTAGGAGATTAAAAATACATATGCTTCAAGAGGGGATAGCCAAGATTCTGATAGCTTATAGTTCTAGGACCCTTTCCTGCAAGCAAAGTAAAGCCGGCACATTGTCACTATAAAACATGCCAATCCCGAGATTCATTTTCTGAAATTACATAATGAATAGAAATTTAAGTTGGCAAAAATGCCTTTCAAAAATTAAACCTCTGGAGAAATTGACAATGTATCATATTTACACAAATCTGAACCAAACTCACCTAAAGCATCAGACATACCTTTGGAAAATCCAGACACTGTATTCCGAAGATAAAAGCCTAGAAAAAGGAGCCCATCTTTCTTTGTTTTATGTCAACATTAAAACTGAGTACTAGGATCAATACAGCTGGTAATTTAAAAGCTTATTTAACTTTATAGCCCTGGAAGCAATCTTTATGCTCATCAATACACACCCATTTTATGGATCATGTTCCTTCTTATCTGTATCAAAACTCATACTGAACAATGAGTTGTGGGTTGCAAAAGAGGACTTACTTTCGCACTTGTCTGTAAGTCTTTGTCCACAAATTAAACAAAAACAAACACAAGTGCTACTGTAAAATGTATTACATACAGTGGTGATGAAATGATATTGAAATACAGGTAGTTAGGGAAAATTATTACAGTACTCAGCAATTCACACTAAACTTGTCTAAGTAAAACAAAAACAGGAAGTTGTAGGTACCGTAAGGAGGGTAGCTGAGAAAAAAAATCAGTTTATGCAAACTTTTCAAGATTATAATCTGTTATTTGATTCAGTGCTCAAATGGTACCTTTAAGTTCTCTTACCTAGAAATAAACCATCATAGGCAAAAACAGAATGACTTTTGTTTATTGTTTGTCAAGTCAGTCTCTGCTGTTAACAGCCTCAAATTTTTTCTACATAATTTTTATGATAATTACTACTTCAGGAGTTTCACAAATCTGTTTGAAGTATTCTTTATTTTCTTACAGGGTTTTTTTCTAAGGCTGGCATATATATTCATACTTATCATCTTCGCTTTTATTCTGTTTACCTTGTCTGGTATTTATAATCCCTTCTCTCTTCAGCCCATTTTGTCCTCTGTCCAGTGTTTAGATTTTGATGTTCTCTTTTTAAGCAAAGCAGTTTCTTCAGTATATTCCTCTTGATCCAAATATACATTCTTCTTCTTTGGAAATTCAGAACTTATTATGAAATAACTATTCTCCTGCATAGGAAGTATTGGTAAGACATATAACCAATTTTTACTGCACTAGTAATTACATACAACTATGTTACTTAAAACAACTTGAAAATTACACTTGGATTTTTTTCTCATTTGATATCCTAGTAACAATAAAACATTAAAATTTACAATACCACTGACACTTTTATTGACATAGTACTGCTAATTGATGTTCTCAATTATCTATAAAATTCTCATTTTTATCCTCACATTTCTTGCACCAAGGGCATTGAGCCTTTCTAAAATTCGACAGTAACACTACAGGATAAAAATCAACCTTTGTCAACTCCTGCCCTCCCAAAACAAAATGGAATAAAAATGTCACTTACCACCAACTTAATATCACATTCATCATGTTCAAGGTTTGCTGCAATCTCCTCCTCTGTGCTGCAATATTAAAATCATTACTACTCAGATGACAATAAATTCATAGCATACTGTTATGACATACAACTGATCAGCAATACCAGTTATATCACTATTAAATATTAAGTATGAATATTTAAGTAACATTTAATCCTTAATTATTAATTAATTTCTCCTGAGAAATCTGTATGCAGGTCAAGAAGCAATAGTTAGAACTGGACATGGAACAAGACTGGTTCCAAATTGGGAAAGGAGTGTGTCAAGGCTATATATTGTCGCCCTGCTTATTTAACTTATATGCAGAGTGCATCATGAGAAATGCCAGGCTGGATGAAGCATAAGATAGAATCAAGATTACCAGGAGAAATATATCAATGACTTCAGATATGCAGATGACACCACCCTTATGGCAGAAAGCAAAGAAGAACTAAAGAGCCTCTTGATGAAAGTGAAAGAGGAGAGTGGAAAAGCTGGCTTAAAACTTAAAATTCAGAAAACTAAGATCATGGCACCTGGTCCCATCACTTCAGGGCAAGTAGATGGGGACAATGGAAACAGGGACAGACTATTTTCTTGGGCTCCAAAATGACTGCAGATGATGACTGCAGCCATAAAATTAATAGATGCTTGCTCCCTGGAAGAAAAGCCATGAGCAACCTAGACAGCATATTAAAAAGCAGAGATGTTACTTTGTCGATAAAGGTTCGTCTAGTCAAACCTATGGTTTTTCCAGTAGTCGTGTATGGATGTGAGTGACCATAAAGAAAGCTGAGCACTGAAGAATTGAAGCTTTTGAACTGTGGTGTTGGAGAAGACTCTTCAGATTCCCTTAGACTGCAGGGAGATCCAACCAGTCAATCCTGAAGGAAATCAGTCCTGAATATTCCTTGGAAGGACCAATGCTCAAGCTGAAACTCCAATATTTTGGCCACCTGATGTAAAGAACCAACTCCTTGGAGAAGACCCTGATGCTGGGAAAGACTGAAGGCAAGAGAAGGGGATGACAGAGGGTGAGATGGTTGGATGGCGTCATTGACTGGATGGACATTAGTTTGAGCAAGCTCTGGGAGCTGGTGATGGACAGGGAAGCCTGGCATGCTGCAGTCTGTGAAGTCCCAAAGAGTCAGACATGACTGAGCGACTGAACTGAACTTTTAATATGAATTTTAAACATTAAAACTATTAAATCAAAATCAAACTGATATAATGTGGAGCGACATTAAAATTTAAAAGCCCAACAATGTTCAAAATTGTTCCAATGTCTGAACTTACGCTGACTCTTCAATAGGAGAGAGAGATCCATCATCATCCAAGTATCTGTATCTTCGACTATCAAAGTCTTCTTTTTCTAAATCTTCAGCAACATTCATCTGCTTCAAGGATTCCTTGAGGTAGTATTCATACTTCAGTTTTTCAAGGTAGTTAAAAAATCCTCTTGCCACTGCTTGCTATATACCAGAACATCCTATTGTAAGTCACGGACTTGGAAAAAAAATTTTTTTCTGCCACAGCTTAGCAGATAGATGCTTATGTTCTAAAATAACAAGGAAGCTCTAACTCTGCCATATGGCAATCACCTCTATCCAACACTGCTTAGATAAAGAATTCACTGTTCTACCGAGCAAGTTACCAAAGTTGGTACACCAAGAAAAACAAGCACAACAAGCATAAATCTTGTATATGTTTACCATATACATACAAGCCCAAGTACAACTTTGAACTGAAGGATGGAGGTGGCATTTAACTGGCAGTATAGTCAGGATAAAGAAGTATTATCAGAGTTGCAAATTGCATGCTCCAGGTGTTACCTAAATTCTAAAAGTGACCAACAACTCATTTCACACATTGAAGCTGTGTATAAGCATATATAAATAATTACCTCAAAGGTTAAAATTTTTCTCCAAGGTAATGGTTTTCTTCCATTTTCTGATTCTAAAAATGGGAAACCAGGTCTTTTGTCTTTAAATTGTTCCTCAGTAATTTGTGAGAATCTAGTGGTTCTCCTTCCTTTTGGTCTTCCTGCTGATCTTCCCGTTGGCTTGTATTTCTTCTTTTTACGTTTATGTTTCTTATTTTTGAATCTTTCAAAAATAGCCTTTAAAGTCAGTGGTCTTGGCTCTATAGATGAGTCACTAGATGACTCCGTTGCTTGAGTACTTTTGGGTATGTGAACGAATTTTCTAACAGTGTTTCTTTGCTTCTGTTTAGGTGGAGCAGGAACATACTGAGTTTTAAATAAGCTGCTACCAGAGGAAGAGTTGTCACTAGAAAACAGGGAAAGATTAATTGCACCCTCTTAAATTACTGAATGTTTACCAGTAATATACTTTTTTAAAATCAAAGCAGGAAAACATGCTTAGAATAATTTCTTAAAAGATGGGCTCAGTACTAACAAACTGCTCAAGTGGGCCATAATGCCACTCCCATGGTGATCCTTCATGCATGCAAGTTCCATAAAGGCATCCTGTTCATGGCTAGATCCTAAACTAAGTAAGACAAAGCCTCCTCTAAATAAAACAAGAGTATCTTGTAGGGAGGTATCTGATGTAAATATACTAGAAATGTTCATGTGATTTCCCAGTGAGATCAATGATTTAGACTAGATACTTTTCATAATACATAAGTCAGCAGCCTTGCTAACATGAATTAATGAGAACAAGTTGATTTTAAAGCAAGATTCACTAATACCCATCTTCTTATAGTTCAAAACTTCAAAGGCCTGTCCATACCAAGTTTTCCTTTTCTGTTCCAATTCTTGAAAATTACATTTACCACCACTCATTACTGATGATTTATGCCCTCCCAGTAATTCAAATACAGTTAAATATTACCATCCAGTCTGTTTTCTAGGAAAAAATGTGTTTTTTTTTTAAAGGCACTTACCTCTGATTCTCAGTTTCCATAGCTGAATCAGATGCCTTTGCACAGTTAAGAGAATCCATTCTTGATCCAAGTCCCTCTCAAATTATCTTTTGCTTTCAATAGATTTCTGACCATATAAAATCTGGTAAATGTGGTGTAGTTTCCCTGAACAAATTAATGCCAAACAGTTAGTAATCAGAGTAATGCAAATGCTGATGCAGCTGTGAGTTGTGTAAATATGTAAATTAAGGCCACATCACTTACGAGGCCTTTAATATTTTCTGGTTGTTAACTGTAAATTTAGATCAATCCTAAAACCCAGAGATTTGATTCACGGGTTCTGTTTGTTCTGCCTCCTTCATCTGTCCAATGGAATAAGATTCCAGAAGAGTAGGTAATTTCCAACAGTATCAAGGAACTTTCCCAGCAGGAAAAAATGTTAATTTTAACCCTCAGCCATATTACTGTACAATGAAGAGTATCAGCGTTCAACGGAAGTTAACTACTGTGTGTGGCCTCAGTATAGCAGGGGAAATAATCATTAGGTCTTACTACCTCAATCCAAACTCCCGGTCTGAGATTTACTATTAGGGTATTAAAAGTTGTAAATTCTCCAAATTCTCGATTAAAGGCTTACAGACTACGACAATGTCCGTTGTCTTTTTTTCACTTCCGTGGATACAGTATTTGGGGCAAAATTTTTTAAAAGATAATGTCTTTTACTTCTCAACCTCCCTTATAGAGGGTGCCATCATTCTCCCACTGTTCTTAGTTTTTAGCATTTTAAGAGCGATATATTTCAAATACAGGAAAACAACAGGGCACAGATCTCAAGCTTTGCAAAATCTAAGCCATGAAGTAACTGCCCTTAAAAACAAGTTAAACGAAAAGTGGATCCAATGACAGCGATGGAATACCTGGGCGTATTATCAAAACTAAAGTTAACACAATCTTTTCCGGAATCTGGAAAGCAATCTTGTGCAAGTGCTGCTTCCTAGTCGGGTACTCTGACCGTACCACGCGACCGCGAACAACTCGTCCTCGGCGCCTTGCGCGATCCTGGGGCGAGCGTCTCCAGGAGGCGCCCATCTCGGACAAGGATGGCGTCAACAACCGCCATTTAGAGAATGAGCATTATTTATGCTCCACTGTAACACTCACGGGCCAGGCTCGGGGCACGGTCGCAATGCAGCCCTAGGCCTGCAGTCCACAACCACCGCGGGGGCTCCCCCATCAGGGCCCAACTCCCGGGGCTGCGCCCAGCCTCGCCGCTCCCGGAAAAAGCCACAAGAGCGACCCCTCCGCCGCCCGCAAGGCCCGGACGCCCGTGTCCTCTTTCCGACCCTTCCAGAGGCGGATGGCGTATACTAACCTGCGCCGGCTCGACACGGGCTCCTGCTGCGGACACCAACCTACAAACCACAGCACTCCGAAAAGCAGCCAGCAGCCAGCCTCCGCCGCCGCGCGGGAAGAAAGAGTGAGCGCGCGGCGCGCCCAAGCTAATAGTGGGGCGGAAGTCTCGCGATAACAACTGGACTCCAGGATGAACGGGAGAGCTGGGAGGTGGTGCGACGCGGGCGCCATGTTTATCCCCGCGAGGGGAGGGCCGAGTCCAGTGGGCGGAGCCTGGACGCCCTAACCCTGGAGAGGTGGAGTTGAGTAAGGTGAGAGCAGGAGTCTGGTGTAGGCTTCTCTAACCGACTAGGTAAGTGGAATCGCTTAGGACATTTCGGCCAACGTTTCGGGAATAAATTGTGGGGTCAGGAGGGTGGAATGCACGTGAACTGCAAGGAAACAGGCACCCCGCCTGACTTGCTCCCAGTGGCCTCACCTCTGCTGAGGTTTCCTATAACTGTCCAAAGTTAGTCACCACGGGTATTGTGGGGGATTTGCGAGTGTGTGTCTCTGGCCAGGTGTGTTTTGTCGTGTTGTGTCCACTTTTGCCTTCAGAAATCGCTTTTCCGTTAAATTGTGAGAGGATCATACCTTGACCGTGACTCAAAATGTGTAACCTTTGTACTGGAAGCCTCTGTTATGCCAGCACTCCCAGCTCCCCGCTCCACTTTCGAACTTGTGTTCTTACCTACCCTCACTCTGAACGAAGGGTCAGCCTCCCAGGAGTTGCTTAACAGATCACAGGAGACACCCGCGGCGGATTTTTGTTGTTCGTTTTCTCAGTTCCCTGAATGGTTCAGTTCAGTTCGGTTCAGTCGCTCAGTCATATCGGACTCTTTGCGGCCCCATGAACCGCAGCACGCCAGGCCTCCCTGTCCATCACCAACTCCCGAAGTTTACCCAAACCCGTGTCCATCGAGTCGGTGATGCCATCCAACCATCTCATCCTCTGTCGTCCCGTTCTCCTCCTGCCCTCAGTCTTTACCAGCATCAGGGTCTTTTCAAATGAGTCAGCTCTTCGCATCAGGTGGCCAAAGTATTGAAGTTTCGGCTTCAGCATCAGTCCTTCCGATGAACACCCAGGACTAATCTCCCTTAGAATGGACTGGTTGGATCTCCTTGCACTCCAGGGGACTCTCAAAGAGCCTTCTCCAACACCACAGTTCAAAAGCATCAATTTTTCTGCGCTCAGCTTTCTTTATAGTCCAACTCTCACATCCATACATGACCACTGGAAAAACCATAGCCTTGACTAGACAGACCTTTGTTGGCAAAGTAATGTCTCTGCTTTTTAATATGCTGTCTAGGTTGATCATAACTTTCCTTCCGAAGAGTAAGCGTCTTTTAATTTCATGGCTGCAGTCACCATCTGCAGTGATTTTGGAGCCCAGAAAAATAGTCAGCCACTGTTTCCACTGTTTCCTGAATGGTTACTGTGTTAAAAAGCTAAAAGTTCAAACTAGTTTAGTTTTGGTGTTTCTTGTTTTTCCCAAAGTACTTAAAAAAAGGAATGAGCTGAAAAAAAAATTTTTTTAATTAAAAAAAAAAAAAGGAATGAGCTGGCTTGATCTCTAGTCCAACTCTTTGCGACCCCACGGACTGTGTAGCACCAGGCTCCTCTGTCCATGGGATTTTCCAGGCAAGAAAACTGGAGTGGGTTGCCATTTCCTCCACCAGGGGATCTTCCTGACCCAGGAATCAAATCCTCAGCTTCTTATATCATATAATAAAACCAGGAAAGCAGTCTAGTCTTATTTTGTGGACAGTGTCATGTTAGGATTGAATAGACCTGGAAGGTAATCTAGCCTCTTTACTCAATTTTGCTCTAAATGTTGAACAATTCCAGGCACAGGTAGTCAAGTCTTGTAGGGTTTGTGAAGTACAGTAAGTTCCAGAACAGGGATTGCATGCCTTATCCCCTGCCATATTTCCAGAGTGAACTTGCCTCTGTAATTTGTGAGGCTCAGTACAAAATGAAAATGCAGTGTCCCTTGTTCAAAATGCAATGGGAAAGTGCCATTAAAGCTACTAAGATATAAGCTGTCTCATTTCTTCTGTAGTATCTCTTTCAACTTGTCATGATGTTTTAACTAATAGCATTAACTTGCTATTATTATCAAGGGCATTATTAATCATGCTATTTTATTATTAATCACTAATTATATTATTAATGCTATCGTTAATTTGTGTAATACCAGTTTTAAATACAAACATAAGATTTAGCTTATACGCAGAATCACTGAAATTTCACAGTTCGTACTGTGTAGTTCATACAGGCTTATGTATTTTGTTCTCACTCTAACACTGAACAAAACTAACACCCCTGTTTTTATTTCACTTCTTGATGAAACTTCTGTATTATTTTACTTCTTGATGCGTGCTCATTCTACCAACTCCATGGAATCCAGGGAATTTGATTCTCAGTGAACTCTCTTGGATTGTGGGTCCAACAGCATTTTACATTCACAGGACTTAAATGATTTATGTGAATGGGAAGCAAGAATTTGTTGCCAAAATCTTGACTCTCTGTGCACTGATGCCAACCAGAAACACGGAGACAGAGTTATGGCGAAGGAAATAGAGGCTTGCTTTCTTTGGCAGGCAGAGAAGGAACACAGTAGGCTAGTGCCTCAAGAACTGTGCTCCTCTCCCTGGATATTAGGGAGAGGTTATGCAAGATCCCCTGGAGAAGGGAATGGCAACCCACTCCAGTATTCTTGCCTAGAGAAGTCCATGGACAGAGAAGCTGAGTGGGCTGCAGTCATTCAATTGCAAGGTGTCTGATTGAGCGACTAACACACAATGTAGTCAAGTCAGAAGTATGTGACTTGTTATATTATGGCAATAACAGTTTTGCGTTCTTCTTCTGCAAAGTTTCAGAAAGGGTTTCAGAAATCTTGCTGACAAGATTAGGGTGTATGCTTAGTTGCATACACCCAACTCATCCAAATAAATATTTTAGAAAAAAATAAAAATAAAATGACATTTGCTTTCCATTTTAGAATAAATCTTTTAATTCTGTATGGTAGCCATTTATTTTAATTATTATCACCAAGTAAACTGCTCCTGGATACAGAGAATTCAAGTTTTGAAAAAAATAAAGTTTTGGCTATCATCTGATATGTGTGTGTGTGTGTGTGTATATATATATATATATATATATAAAATATACATTCATAATTTAATGCTCTATTTGCTAAATAAAATTAAATTAAAATTAAAATATTTAAGTGTCACTATATCTTATTTCCAAGTATGTATAAGTGTGTTAATGTGCATGTATAAATATTCTATATTGTAAAAGGAAACAATATTAAAAAATAAATGATGGGCAAGAAAAATAATTTTTTTTGAACTTTAAAAATTTTCTCATTTATTTATTTTTTAGTTTATTTATTTTAATTGGAAGCTAATTACAATGTTGTGGTAGTTTTTGCCACACAGTGACATGAATCAGCCATGGGTGTACATGTGTCCCTCATTCAGAACCCCCTCTCCCTTTTCCCTCCCCATCCAATCTCTCAGGGTTGTCCTAGTGCACCGGCTTTGAGTGCCCTATTTCATGCATGAAACTTGGACTGGTGATCTATTTCACACATGATAATATAGATATTTCAATGCTATTCTCTCAAATCATCCCACCCTCGCCTTCTCCCACAGAGTCCAAAAGTCTGTTCTTTATATCTGTGTCTCTTTTGCTATCTCACATATAGGGTTGTTGTTACCATCTTTCTAAATTCCATATATATGCATTAGTATACTGTATTGGTGTTTTTCTTTCTGACTTACTTCACGTGTACCCCAGTGTTCATTGCAGCACTGTTTATAATAGCCAAGACATAGAAGTAACCTAGATATCCATTGGCAGACGAATGGATAAGAAAGTTGTGGTACATATACACAATGGAATATTACTCAGCTATTAAAAAGAACAGATTTGAATCAATTCTAATGAAGTGGATGAAACTGGAGCCTATTATACAGAGAAAAAAATTTGCAAAACAAAAGAAAAACAAAATTTTTTTTAATGTATATAAGATAATGGGACTTTCCTGGAGGTACAGTGGTTTAAGAGTCCATGCTTCCACTGTAGGGGGCTCAGGTTCTATCCCTGGTCAGGGAGCTAAGATTCTGTAGCTTGTTCATGTGTGCTAAGTCACTTCAGTCATGTCTGACTCTTTGTGACCCCATGGACTATAGCCTGCCAGGCTCCTCTGTCCATGGAATTCTCCAGGCAAGAATACTGGAGTGGGTTGCCATGGACTTCTCCAGGGGATCTTCCCAACCCAGGGATTGAACCAATGTCTCTTGTGTCTCCTGAATTTATTGACAGGCAGGTTCTTTACCACTAGCACCACCTGGGAAGCCCTTGGATGAAGTGTATACAAGATTGTTTGTATATACTTTCTTTCTTTGTATGTATTTTCTGTCCATCTGAAATTATTTCAAAAGTTAAAATGGCTATTCCTAAACAATTATAATTTATTTCAATTTGAAAATATATTTGAGGGAATTCCCTGGAGGTCCACAGGCTTCCCAGGTGGCACTAGAGATAAAGAATTCACCTGCCAATGCAGGAGACACCAGAGATTCAAGTTTGATCCCTGGGTCAGGAAGATTCCTCTGAAGGAGGAATTGGCAACCCACTCCAGTATTCTAGCCTGGAAAATTCCATGTACAGAGGAGCCTAGTGGGCTACAGTCCACAGGGTCACAGAAGAGCCAAACACAACTGAGCATGCACGCACCTAACCACCACCCTGGAGGTCCACTGGTTAGGACTCTAAGCTTCACTTTCACTGCTGAGGGCTCAGGTTTGATGCCCTGGTCAGGGAACTAAGATTGTACAAGTGGCGTGTCGATGCCAAAAAGAAAATATATTTGAGGTAATTAAAATATGATGATATAGGGCTTGGGGCCCAGTATCAATTGTTTACATTTTATTTGGGACACCAAATTATGCATATTAAGTAAATAAAGGCCCTCCCTGGTAACTCAGTAAAGAATCTGACTACAGTGTGAGAGACCAGGTTCCTTCCCTGAGTTGGGAAGATCCCCTGAAGAAGAGAATGGCAACCCACTCCAGTATTCTTGCCTGGAGAATCCCATGGACAGAGGAACAGGGTAATAAGTTTTGGTATTTGATCAAGTACTAAAGAAGTGTTGAGTCTTCACATGTGTTTGTGAAGGATGTGTTGTTTGAAACTACTGTCAAAATTAGAAATCCAGTTTCTAAGAAAACTATGAATCTTTGGAAAATTTAAAAAAAATTTGGAAGAGTATTTCAAATGTTGCCAAAGTACCACCTTTCACTTAGTAAGTAATGATATGCCAGAGATTATTCAGATTAATGAGGTATTCAGTAACAATTTTAATGAGAAATCCAACAGTGTTCTTAGAAGCACCCTTAAGAGTTTTGTCTTTATTCCTTGCTATGATTGGCCTAGAGTGGGATTTCTCCACCCACCTAGTATTACTTTTGTTTGTTTGTGCTTTTTGGCTCACATTTTATTTAAATCTGTCTGCTTGTGCACCTCATCACCTATACAGTTGAGGTAAGGTACTAATCTCTGCATAAATGTCTAATTATTGTAAAATGCTTAGCATGTATTTTTTAAAAATCAAATTATACTTCATTAGTTATCAGAATAATTGAACATTAAAGCTGTTTACCAAAAATAAAATGTTTATTTGTAAATGAAATGATTTGAATATCAAAAGCTAATCATTTGTAGAAATTTCCATTTTTCTTAGTAATTTAAATTTTCTTTTGTAAAAGTGATAGTGTAAGAAACTCAGGTAATTTTTAGCCTAATTGTCAAATACAGAATAGAAAACACAAGTAAATGATCTATTATAGAAGTACCTGAACATCGTACAACCAACTGTTATTCTACAACCACTTAAACTCTTAACACATAAACCTTAGCAACTAACTACCTTTGCTTCAGCATCTATCTTCCTTAAACCAACTGTTAGAAAGCTGCATGTTCAGTCCAGGTACATGACTGGAGAAAAATGCATCATGTGCCCTCTTGGTTTGGTATTCCTTTTGTCTATTTAAATGTCAGCCATTTAAGGTGTTAGTATTAAAGGAGGTTACTTGAACATTTCTCACTTTGATTATTAAATACTAAAAGCTGTGGTTGCCTTTCTGTGAGGACAGGCACCTAAGTGCCCTTTTACCTTCCTTATATAACTGAAGTCTTTCATTTCCAGAGCTTTAGATGTTCATGCTTGGTGCACTGTGAACTCTTGCAATCATTAATCTACACTTGCTTTATCTTGTAAATCCTCATGAAACCTCACAGCTCAGGTTGGGACTTGAACCCACTGTCTTTTGAGATCACACACTCAGGACTTAATGAAGCTCAAGTCTTTAGGTCTTATCTAAAGAAAGTATTCAGTTAGAGACAAAGTGATATGAAGTAGATTTATTTACAGAGACATTTCAAAAATACACAGAAGAACTGCACAAAAAAGATTTTCATGACTCAGATAACCACAATGGTGTGATCACTCACCTAGAGCCAGACATCCTGGAATGCAAAATCAAGTGGGCCTTAGGAAGCATCACTGTGAACAAAGCTAGTAGAGGTGATGGAATTCTAATTGAGCTATTTCAAATCATAAAAGGTGATGCTGTGAAAGTGCTGCACTCAATATGCCAGCAAATTTGGAAAACTCAGCAGTGGCCACAGGACTGGAAAAGTTCATATTTCATTCCAATCCTAAAGAAAGGCAATGCCAAAGAATATTCAGACTACTGCACAATTGCACTCATCTCATACACTGCCTTAGCAAAGTAACACTAAAAATTCTCCAAGTGAGGCTTTATCAGTACATGAACTGTGAACTTCCAGATGTTCAAGCTGGATTTAGAAAAGGCAGAGGAATCAGAGATCAAATTGCCAACATCCATTGGCTCATTGAAAAACCAAGAGTTCAAAAAAAAACATCTAATTTTGCTTTATTGACTATGCCAAAGCCTTTGATTGTGGATCACAACAAACTGTGGAAAATTCTTCAAGAGATGGGAATACCAGACCACCTGACCTGCCTCTTGAGAAATCTGTATGCAGGTCAAGAAGCAACAGTTAGAACTGGATATGGAACAACAGACTGGTTCCAAATAGGAAAAGGAGTGCGTCATGGCTGTATATTGTCACCTTGCTTATTTAACTTATATGCAGAGTACATCATGAGAAATGCTGGGCTGGAGGAAGCACAAACTGGAATCAAGATTGCCAGGAGAAATATCAATAACCTCTGGTATGCAGATGACACCACCCTTATGGCAGAAAGCAAAGAAGAACTAAAGAGCCTCTTAAAAGTGAAAGAGGGGAGTGAAAAAGTTGGCTTAAAACTCAACATTCAGTGATGGACAGGGAAGCCTGGCGTGCTGCAGTCCATGGGGTTGCAGAATCAGACACGACTGAGCAACTGAACTGAACTAATTTCATAAACAGAATGCCGTCTGTCTCAAAAAGCAAGATGGCCTTGGAAGAAAGACGGGCAGTGTGGGCCAGCTCAGAAAGCTAGAGGTCCTTAAATGTAGGGTGGTTAGTTTTTATGGGCTGGGTAACTTCATAGGCTAACAAGTGGGAGGATTATTTCAACTATTTGGGGCAGAAATTTTCAGGAATTGGGCCACCACCCACTTTTTGGCCTTCTGTGGTTATGGTGCTTATGGATGTACCATTTAGATGCTAATGCTTTACAATGAGGCTCAAGGTCTACTGGAAGTTGAATCTTTTGCCATCTTGGACTTAGTTGGTTCAGACTAGTTTTTTCCCTTCTTTTAAAGGTTGTGCCTTGTCCCCTAAGGAAGAAAGAAGATGGCTTGTGCTGAATATTCTTTTCATGTGCCAAGTCTAGAGGAGCTTGTTGGAGGTAAATACTATATTGAGTCTTTTTTATTATCCTAAGGAAAAAAAATAAAAATAAAACATTCTAAGATAATGAGAGTCCAAATCTCTACCTCTCAAAAAAACCTAAATTCACTGTTCAAATAGTCTTGATTAGATACTATTCACTGTTCAAATAGTCTTGATTAGATACTAACTTTACAGAATGAAAATGAATATGATAATCCAAGATTTAAATGTGTGTGGTGCCCAAAGAGTACACAGTTTTGCTTTATTAACTTTTTACCAGTTGCAATACTCTTGAAATAATCTACTGTGATACATTAATCATGTTCCCAATCTACTACTTTTTCCCCCTCTCCTGATATGACAGACTGTCAGTGAACCTTGCTTAGGTTTTTCTGTCTGTATATATTTTTAGGTATCTCACCTTATTTGAGCAAGAATTTAAGGGAGTGTCACAGGATTAATTCAAAGGAAGGGATCTATTAATACATAAGAAAAAGAAAGTGAAGCCAGGAGAGAGAGGGGACAGATTCAAGTTGATGTTCGTCAGAAATCAACACAACATTATAAAGCAATTTTCTTCCAATTAAAAAAATAAATAGATCCTACATGCCTCAATTAAGACCTGGTGCAGTCAAATAAATAAATGTTAAAAAAAAAAAAGACTCTGGAGGGGTGCACAGATCCTTCTTTGGGGAACTAAGATCCCACATACCACCCAGCATGGCCAAATATTAAAGTTTAAAAAAAAAGGTATAAACTGTTTCCAGTATCCCAGAAGACTCTTCACACTTTCTTAGTCAATAGCACTTTCCCAGGAAGTGACCATTGTTCTGACTTCTGTGACCTTAGATTAGTTGCCTTTGTTTGAAATACACATAAGTGAAGTCATATAGCACATACTTTCATGTCCTCTTTTGCTAAACATTTTGCCTGTAAACAGTGAAGGTGTTGCATGTAACTGCTTACTTTCTAGCTGTGTAAATATTTACATTTCAATTCCTGGAATCCTTTCCCTAAAAGAAAATGCGTGCAGTGTTTATCTTCAGTGGTTTATAATCACTACAGCTTACAGTGGTATTTATGGAATTATTTATGTAATTAGTATGCATATCTTGTGATTAATTATGTGTCTGATATCTAAATAAGTTCATTAAGAAGATTGTTCCCCCCTCTTTTTGTTTGTTTATATGATTTTTTTGGCAGCACAGCATGCAGGAGCACCCCCGTCAGTGGAAGCATGGGGTCTTAACTGCTGGCCCCCAAGGCTCCTTTTAAATTACTCAAGTTTAGGGACTTCCTGGCACTCCAGAGGGTAAGACTCCTTGCTTCCACTGCAGGTGGCAAAAATTCCATCCCTGTTCTGGGAACTAAGATCCCCCATGCTGGGCAGTGCAGCCAGAAATTAAAAAAAAAAAAAAATTACACAAGTTTAGGTTGGAAATAGGACACACAAAACAATAGAGGGAAGACTTGATATGTGATGGCAAATTTCTACCTGATGTTAAGCTTTTTTCTTGTCTTCATTAGTTCTGCAGAAGGGGCTAACGGATAACTTTGCTGAAGTCCAGGTCTCTGTAGTTGATTGCCCTGATTTAACTAAGGAGCCATTTACCTTTCCTATAAAAGGTAAGCAATCTTTGCAATTAGCTTTTCCTTTTCAGACCAGATCTTTTCCTGAAACCAAAATTATTTTTAAGGATTATCTTAAATTATCTCCAAATAAAGGATATTGCCCCAACTTTTAGATTAAATTGTGCTTCATTTCTGTGTTTTCTAATAGTGGTCAAATTTCATGTTATACCCTTGTAGGAAAATATGGTGTTTTATGTACTTTTATAACTTTCATAGGTTATATAATAGCTGTTCAGTAGGCTAGCATCTGAATATCACATCAAAATTTTATTTTTAATTGTTCAAGTGACTGTTATGGAAACATTATAATTTTTATGTTTTACATATTCAATATCAGAAGGGATCTTAAAAGCCTTGTATTTATTTGAATCATCTATTAAATATTTACATCCCTTCAACAAATTTGTCAACTGATTTCCAATGTTCAAAGTGAGTAGGGACATTAATATTGATGCTGAAACAGCCTCTGTGTAGCAGCGTCAAATTGACTGTCAGAGACAAACAGTATTCCGTGAAGTAGAAAAGAATAGCTTTATTACTTTTCCAGGCAAAGGGGGACATAACAGACTAATGCTCTCAAAACTGTGGGTCCCAAACTGAAGTGGGGGTTGTGGGGAGTCTCAGGGAGGGGTTAGTCATGGGAGGGGTTTCTCACTGGGATCAGGGTGCTCACAAGGCTTGCATTTGTTCAGTATAGAGATTGTCTCAGGCGGTCCTATGATCTGTGGTTCTCAAGGTTACTGAACTGTAACTTTCTCTTTGGAATGAAGAATGTTTCATCAAGTAGTTAACATCTTTCATTTGGTGGGGGTTTTAGTTCTGCAGAAGAGCTCAAGAATACTGTTCTGTATGTCCCTTACTGGAAGGACCCATTCAAAAAGACCCTGATGCTGGGAAAGATTGAAGGTGGGAGAAGAAGGGGATGACAGAGGATGAGGTGGTTGGACTGCATCACCGACTTGATGGACATGAGTTTGAGCAAGTTCCAGGAGTTGGTGATGGACAGGAAGACCTGGCGTGCTGCAGTGCAAGGGGTCACAAAGAGTTAGACACGACTGAGCGACTGAACTGAACTGGTCACCCTTAAGGAAGAATCTGCTCCAAGGCTACACTATTTATTTTGGCTGCTCTGGGCCTTAGTTGTGGCTCATGGGATCATCACTGTGGCATGCGGACTCTTGGTTGTGGAATACATATAGTTCCCCGACCATGGATTGAACCTGGGTCCCCTGCATTGGGAATGTGGAGTCTTCACCACTGGACCATGAGGGAAGTCCCCTTAAAATATAATTTTAGCTAAAGCCCCCTACCCCCACACACAAAAAAAGATTTTTAAAGGACTAAGTCATTATAGACTAATATAGAAACTTCATCCAATCCAGACATTGGCCCCAGTTCTAGCCCTTGCCTTACCATCAACTCCATTGCCTTTATGTTACTAACTATATCAAGTTATACTTGGTTATGACAGTATTAGAAACAGAAGTAGGGAACTCCTCAGCAATCCAGTGGTTAGCACTCCTGGTCAGGGAACTCAGATACCATAAGCCAAGTGGCACAGCCAGAAAAACAACAAAAAAGAAAAAAAACAGGTAGTTAGAATAGGACAGGGGTACTTGCTACTTTTAGGTTGGCCAAAAGATTCATTTGGTTTTTTTCCTTAAGATGGCTCTAATAGCACTTAGTTGTCTTTAGCTTCATTCAGAACAGTTTTGTTAGATTATATTGTGACAGCTGTCATATCAGCATACATTTTTAAAAAACTTATCAAAATGGGCAAGTTTTGTGTAACCATTTCAATATTGAAGATAAAAGAAAAAAAGCAACATTTTCAGTATATTATGCTTTATTACTTGAAGAAAGGTAAAAACACAACTGAAACCCAAAAAAAGATTTGGGCAGTGTGTGGAGAAGGTGCTGTGACTGAACAAATGTGTCTAAAGTGGTTTGTGAAGTTTTCTGTTGAAGATATGCTGGATGATGCTCCATGGTCGAGTAGACCAGTTGAAATTGATAGCTATCAAACTGAGACATTGAGAATAATCAACTTATACCATGCAAGAGATTGCTGACACATTCAAAATATCCAGTGCTGAAAATCATTTGCAGCAGCTTGGTTATATTCATCGCTTTGATGTTTGGGTTCCACATAAGTTAAGCAGAGAAAACCTTCTTGACTATTATCTCCACATGCAATTCTCTACTTAAATGACATGAAAACACTCTTAAAAAAAAAAAATTGTGATGGGTGATGAAAAGTGAATACTGTACAACAATGTGGAATGGAGGAGATCATGGGTAAGTGAAATGTACCACCACCAACCACACCAAAGGCTGGTCTTCATCCAAAGAAGGTGATGTTGTGAATATGGAGAGATTGGAAGGGAGTCCGTTCTACTATGAGCACCTTCTGGAAAATCAAACAAGTTAATTCCAAAAAGTACTGTTCCCAATTAGACCAACTGAAAGCAGCACTTGATGAAAAGCATCCAGAATTAGTCAACAGAAAATGCATAATCCTCCATAATGCAAGGCCACATGTTTCTTTGATGACCAGGCAAAATCTGTTGTAGCTTGACTGGGAAGTTCTAATTCATCTGCCATATTCACCAGACATTGTACCTTTGGATGTCCATTTATTTTGGTCTTTACAAGATTTTCTTCATGGAAAAAATTTCAGTTCCCTGAAATTACAGGCACTGAGAACAGTTCTTTGCTCAAAAAGATAGAAAGTGTTGGGAAGATTGAATTATGAAGTTAGCTGAAAAATGGCAGAAGGCAGTGGAACAAAATGGTGAATACTTTGTTCAATAAAATTATTGGCGAAAATGAAAAATGTGTGTTTTATTTTTACTTTAAAAACTGAAGGACATTTTTCACCAACCCAATACAGATTCTGACCCCTACTATTTGTAAAATGATGAGAATGGAAAACTTATATACTCTTTTTTTAAAAAAAATTGAAGTAGAGCACTCATCGGCCATCGCAAACCGGATTCCTCTCCTTTGCAGCTCTCTCTACTCCCTCTGTAACTATGTCTGACAAACCCGATATGACTGAGATTGAAAAGTCCGATAAATCGAAACTGAAGAAAACAGAAACACAAGAGAAAAATCCACTGCCTTCAAAAGAAACTATTGAACAGGAGAAGCAAGCAGGCGAATCCTAATGAAGCATGCACTGCCAGTATGCACTGTACATTCCACAAACACTGCCTTCTTATTTTACTTTTAGATGTTTAGCTTTGTAAGATGTAAGAGGTTGGATCGATTAAATGACTGCCAACCTTTTCTACATAAGAGAAAGGAGAACTACTCTAACAATGTGTAAGCCATGGCCTGCCTCTCTCATCTGCCTGTCTGACTGGGAGGGAAGAAAAAAAAACTGTTGGTGAAGGAGGAAGCTGGGTGGGACGACAGTGAACTCTAGAGTAAAAAGCAAGCTAGTCCAAGATGTCCTCTGGTCTTTGAAGTGCAGTTTGGAGTGCCATTTCCTTTTTGTTACAATGATTTTAAATACCGGTGTACAAACATTTTTTAACACAAATAAAAAATTTTAAAATGTAAAGAAAGAAAAATTGAAGTATAGTTGATTTACAATGCTGTGACAATCTCTGCTGTACAGCAGAATGACTCAGTTATACACACATGTACCTTCTTTTTTTATATTTTCCATTATGATTTACAACAGGATATAGAGTAAAATGTGTATACTCTGTTAAAAAATATTTATTTATTCATTCATTTATTTGCATGCATCAGGTCTTAGTTGTGGCATGCAGAATCTTTAGTTGCAGTATATGGGATCTAGTTCCCTGACCAAGGATTGAACTCAGACCCCCTGCATTGGGAGCTCAGAATCTTAGCCACTGGATCACCAGGGAAGCCCCCAAAATTATTGTTGTTCAGTCGCTCAGTTGTATCCAACTCTTGGCAATCCCATGGACCTTATACAGCATGCCAGGCTTCCTTGTCCATCACCATCTCCTGGAGTTGACTCAAACTCATGTCCATTGAGTTGGTGATGCCATCCAACCATCTGTCGTCCCCTTCTCCTCCTGCCCTCAATCTTTCCCAGGATCAGGGTCTTTTCCATTGAATTGGGTCTTCACATCAGGTGGCCAAAGTATTGGAGCTTCAGCATCAGTCCTTTCAATGAATATTAAGGGTTGATTTCTTTTAGGATTGACTAGTTTGATCTCCTTGCTGTCCAAGGGACTCTCAGGAGTCTTCTCCAGCACCATACTTTGAAAGCATCAATTCTTCTAAAAGATATGTACTCTTAATAAGTGTCTTCTGGTATTTTATACTTAGATGTAGATGTTCACCTATTTTTAAGGTGTATTTTCTTTTTAGGCATCTGTGGAAAAACTAGAATTGCAGAAGTAGGAGGTGTGCCTTACTTATTGCCTCTTGCAAATAAAAAAAAAGTAAGTGTATTTTTACTTTTCACATTCACATGAAGATTATGGAAATTGATTCCTATTTTTATTCTTAGAAGACCCACTGACCAGTGTGACAAGCAAATGTTAATGGACTCAGTAACAAAAAGTAAACCTGGGAATTTATGTAAGTCAGTTCTAAATAATATGCTTTTTCTCTTACTTAGGTTTATGATTTAAATAAGATTGCAAAAGACATCCAGCTTCCTGGAGCTTTTATTCTTGGAGCAGGAGCAGGCCCATTTCAGACTCTTGGATTCAATTCTGAGGTCAGCATATTATCATATGTTATAGATAATATGTAATATATATTAGTATAATTATTTTAATTTATTGATTTGACACTTAGTTTGCCTTTTTCCTTTTACTGCCCTATCAGAAATCCTGTCATCTGAATGAATTGTAAGTGGTTGATATCATACCTCTCTACAGATTTGATACTGTTTGGTACTGATTTAGAGTATAGCACATGCTCCAGTGAGTCAAACTGAAATGGAGCACTCATCTCTAATTTAGATTTTCTTAAGTCATAGATGAGTCTATCAAAGGTCCTGCTGTGGTTTGCCGAGGACTCTGGAATGTGAAAGATTTCGATCCTTACACATCAGAGGATTCCTAGCTTCTCTGACCTTGGCTAGTTCAAAGACAGCTTTTAATCAGAAGATGCATGAAATGTTTAATGACCTAGTCAACTCCCTCTTTCAGACCAATAGTAGGGATCTAGCTCAGTAGTTTGATTGTTATTTATAAAAGGTAATATCCATCACTGTGTATGTCAGTGCATTTCCAACATAAAAATATCAGTGCTTCTTCACATCTCATGAACAGAGAGTGAATAACCTCCTCAGTTTGCACATTGTCTCTCACTGCCTCTTACAGATGTGACCGTTAGTCAATAATCATACAAGTCCTTATAGAAACATTAATATAAATTGGCTAGTGTTCAAGATAAAAGTTTAAAATTTAAAATGAGAAATTTTAAAGCAAATGTCACAATCTCTCAGAAACACCATAATACTGTAAACATTTTATAAAATGTTTTTTCCCATTTTTGATTTTTGTAAATCTTTAACATTTTAATGTAACATTAAATATTCTGTTTTTCATGTTTTATTATTAGATCTTGAAATAAAATGTCTTAAAGTGTAGGGCAAAATATTTTGTCACATTTTCAAGATATTCTCTTTTGCATAGAGATTCTATGATTGACTAAATACCTTATTTACTTTTCTTTTCAGTTTATGCTACTTGTTCAAACAGAAAGTGAACACAGACCTCCTGTGAATGGAAGTTACTTTGCTCGGGTTAACCCTGCAGATGGAGGGTGTCTACTAGAGAAATACAGTGAGAAATATCATGATTTTGGGTGTGCGTTACTGGCTAATCTTTTTGCCAGTGAAGGCCAACCTGGGAAGGTGATTTTGTTCATAAAAACGCAGTATTCTCCAAAATTTCTCAGAGAGCTAAAAATCTGAATGCTTATTGCTACTGTAATTTTTTTAAGAAAATCCAAAGATACCCAAGTCAAAGCTCTTTAAATAATCCAGTTATGAGAGATTCAGAAAGTACTGCAGGCAGAGTGAAAGTCTCATTTAAAACTAAGGTTAAGAATAATACCTAGTAAACAATAGCCTTTTTCCAAGGAACTAAAAGGTAATAGGATATTCTTGTGGGGAGTGAGTTAGTCAAATAGATGAACCATGCAGCTGAAGTTGGTAATGTCTACCTACAGTTAGTACATATGTAACTTGCTCATTCCTGACTGATCAGACATTGATTGAGATATCTAGAAATGATGGGATTATATTATAGATTATAGAAATTATAGAAAGAATAGATAAGGAGAATTAATTCCCCACTTCATATTTATTTCCTATTAGTACCAAAAAAAGATGATTTCATGTTCCAAAATTGTAATGATGGTCACACAACTCTATAAATATACTTAAAGCCATTGAATTGTTTACTTTAAGTAGGTGGATTTTATAGTATGTGAATTGTATCCCCAATAAAGCTGTTTATTTTTTTAAGATGATTTCAGTTTTAGCAGTTGTGAGAACTCTCAGATTTTATAAAGAGATAACTACTTCAGCCACTTTGAGAAATGAGGTGGTGAAGCAAAAATACCTACTAAAGTGGGGGTAACAGAAGTCCAGAATTTTAAAGGAAATGAGAAAATATAGTCGTTTCTTCTCTAGGTATCAGAAGTTAATCCCTTAAATCAAAGAATTCTCAATCTTTTACCATATTGACATATAGTAAGAGTCTCAAGAGTTCAGTGTTGAATTTAGCTATAAATTTATAAAATTAAGCTATAATTCTCTTTCTCAGTTCAAAAAAGCATGAATAAGATATTATTAGAGTAAATGATATATCTCGCATATATATATATATATATATATATTATTAAGATTTAGAGGATTCAGACACTTCTGCTAATATCTGGGTGCTCAAAACAAACAATTGAATATTTGCTTGATGGCATTGAATTATATAATGTTTCACTTTGGTAGTTATTTGCATAATATTTTGCAGCTTACAACAATGGTATGTATGTTCTCTCTAGGTCATTGAGGTGAAAGTCAAAAGAAGAACTGGAAAACTTAACTTTGTGACATGTATGAGGCAGACTCTTGAAAAACATTATGGAGATAAGCCTGTAGGAATGGGAGGTGCTTTCATAATTCAGAAGGGAAAAGTGAAGACTCACATTATGGTAAAGGCCTCTGCACATGTGTATGTGTGTGTGTGTGTGTGTGTGTGTGTGTGCATGTGCTTAAGATTGTAGGAAATTTGAATATACATTGAGAATTTAACCTTTAAAGACGTTCTGAACAAGTCCTTTTACTACAGTCGTGTTACCTTAAAATTTAAATGACAGAGAATACTGTAAAGCATGTTATATGATAAGGTCCTGCTAGAGTCCTTTCTTCATGTTAATAATATTAGAACTTTCTTCTTAGTTTGTTTCAAAGGTCAAGATAGCTGTGAGCGTAAGCCTTGAAAGTGCAAGTGAAAGTTGATCAGTTGTGTCTGACTCTTTGTGACCCCTTGGACTATACAGTCCATGGAATTCTCCAGGCCAGAATACTGGAGAGGGTAGCCTTTCCCTTCTCCAGGGGATCTTCCCAACCCAGGGATTGAACCCAGGTCTTCTGCATTGCAGGTGGATTCTTCACCAGCTGAGCCACAAGGGAAGCCCAAGAATACTGGAGTGGGTAGCCTTTCCCTTTTCCAGGGGCTCTTCCCAACCCAGGAATCAGACCTGGGTCTCCTGCATTGCAGGCAGATTCTTTACCAACTGAGCTATCAGGGAAGCCCAAAGTTAATTTGGGGGCAGGCTTTCCTGCCCTGACGCCATCCCAGCCTTAGAAACTGATCGTTTCCATTGCTAGAATCCTAACCTCAGTATATTGAGTTTACTGTTAAGATGGTTGTCAAAAAAAAAAAAAAAATGGTTGTGGTTTAAGGGGAAAAATTCATTATGAAAATTATAATCTTATATGATGCTGTGAAAGTGCTACACTCAATATGTCAGCAAATTTGGAAAGCTAAGCAGTGGCCACAGGACTGGAAAAGGTCATGTTTCATTCCAATCCCAAAGAAAAGCAATGCCAAAGAATGCTCAAACTATCGCACAGTTGCACTCATCTCACACGCTAGCAAAGTAATGCTCAAAATTCTCCAAGCCAGACTTCAATAGTACATGAACCGTGAACTTCCAGATGTTCAAGCTGGTTTTAGAAAAGGCAGAGGAACCAGAGATCAAATTGCCAACATCTGTTGGATCATCAAAAAAGCAAGATAGTTCCAGAAAAACATCTATTTCTGCTTTATTGATTATGCCAAAACCTTTGACTGTGTGGACCACAACAAATTGTGGAAAATTATGAAAGAGATGGGAATACCTGACCACCTGACCTGCCTCTTGAGAAACCTGTATGCAGGTCAGGAAGCAACAGTTAGAACTGTACATGGAACAACAGACTGGTTCCAAATTGAGAAAGGAGTACATCAAGGCTGTATATTGTCACCCTGCTTATTTGATGTATATGCAGGGAATATCATGACAAATGCTGGGCTGGAAGAAGCACACGCTGGAATCAAGATTTCTGGGAGAAATATCAATAACCTCAGATATGCAGATGACACCACCCTTATGGAAGAAAGCGAAGAAGAACTAAAGAGCCTCTTGATGAAACTGAAAGAGGAGAATGAAAAAGTTGGTTTCAAGCTCAACATTCAGAAAACTAAGATCTGGTCCTATCAAACAGTGGAAACAGTGAGAGACTATTTGTTTAGGTTCCAAAATCGCTGCAGATGGTGACTGCAGCCATGAAATTAAAAGACACTTGCTCCTTGGAAGAAAAGTTATGACCAACCTAGACAGCATATTAAAAAGCAGAGACATTACTTTGCCAACAAAGGTCTATCCAGTCAAAGCTATGGTTTTTCCAGTAGTCATGTATGGATGTGAGGGTTGGACTGTAAAGAAAGCTGAGCGCCAAAGAATTGATGCTTCTGAACTGTGGTGTTGAAGAAGACTCTTTGGTTCCTTGGACTGCAAGGAGGTCCAACCAGTCCATCCTAAAGGGAATCAGTCCTGAATATTCATTGGAAGGACTGATGCTGAAGCTCAAGCTCAAATACTTTGGCCACCTGATGTGAAAACTAACTCATTAGGAAAGACCCTGATGCTGGGAAAGATTGAAGGCAGGAGGAGAAGGGGACGACAGAGGATGAGATAGTTGGATGGCATCACTGACTCAATGGACACGGGTTTGAGTAAACTCCGGGAGTTGGTGATGGACAGAGAGGCCTGGAGTGCTATAGTCCATGGGGTCGCAAAGAGTCAGACACGACTGAGTGACTGAACTGAACTGAACTGGACTAACTTTAAAAAAAAAAAAAGAATATATTTATAAGATATTAATGATGGAATACCATATGAGGACAGACCAGGTCATCTAGGATTTTCAAAAATAATTTTTGGGATTTCCCTGGTGCCCCAGTGGTTAAGAATCCACCTGCCGTCGCAGGGGACACAAATTCGATCCCTGGTCCTGGAAGATCCCACATGCCCCAGGGCAGTTAAGTCCATGAGCCACAACTACTGAGCCCACACACTCTAGAGCCCATGCTCTGCTACAAGAGAAACCATTGCAAATGAGAGGCCCACGCACCACAGCTGGAGAGTGGCCCTTGCTTTCAGCAACTAGAAAAAGCCCTTATGTTGCAACAAAGACCCAACACAGCCAAAAATAAAATAAACAACAAAATAATTTTAAAAAATAATTTTTGGTAGGTGAGTGAATGAAGTGTCATTGTTGTTCATTCCCAAGTCATTTCAGATTGTTTGTGATCCCATGGACTGCAGGATGCTAGGCTCCTCTGTCCTCTTATTTCCAGGAGTTTGCTCAAATTCATGTCCATTGAGTCAATGATGAACAAAATGTAAAAGTGTTGCACTTTAATGTTGTTTTGTTTTAACAATGAAGCTGTCACAAAATATATTGTTTTAAAGTTTTTAGTCTGATAATTTTAAATGGCAAACCAGCTGATATCGCATATAAAGACATATTGTGAAACTACTTAATTACTTTTCCAAATTATTTACAACAAAATTATAGGTCAATCCATTTGTAAATACCAAATGATCAGAGGATTTTTAAAAAATCAAATAATACTTTATTATGAACTGTAGTTACCATGATGTACATTAGATCTTTAAACTTATTCATCTTACCACTGAAAGATTGTACCCTTTGATCAGCATCTCCTCATTTCACTCCCATCCTACCTCAACTTCTGACAACCACCACTCTACTGTTTCTCTAAACTGGACTTTTTTAGATTCCACATACAAGTGATATCACCCAATATTAGTCTGGGACTGGCTTATTTCACTCAGTATAGTGTCCTCCAAGTTCATCTACATTGTTACAAATGGTGGGATTTCCTGCTTTTTAAAGCCTGAATGATATTTCATATATATCACAACTAGAAAGATAGGTAGCAATTTCTTTGTCCATTCATCCATTATTGTTGTTATTGTTTAGTTGCTAAGTTGTGTCTGACTCTTTGGCACCTCATGGACTGCAGCATACCAGGCTCCTCTGTCCTCCACTGTCTCCCAGAATTTGGTCCAATTCATGTCCATTGAGTTGGTGATGCCATCCAACCATCTCAGTATCTGTTGCCCTCTTCTCTTCCTTCCCTCAGTCTTTCCCAGCATCAGGGTCTTTTCCAATGAGTTGTCTCTTCATACCAGGTGGCCAAAGTATTGGAGCTTCAGCTTCAGCATCAGTCCTTCCAATCAATATTCAGGGTTGATTTCCTTTAGGATTGACTGATTTGATCTCCTTGCAGTCCAAGAGACTCTCAAGAGTCTTCTCCAACACCACAGTTCAAAAGCATCAATTCTTCGGTGCTCAGCCTTCTTTATGGTCCAATTCTCACATCCATACATGACTACTGGAAAAACCACAGCTTTGGCTATATGGATTTTTATCAGCAAAGTAATATCTCTGCTTTTTAATGCACTATCTAGGTTGGTCATAGCTTTTCTTTCAAGGAGCAAGCGTCTTTTAATTTCCTGGCTGCATTCATCCATTGACAGACACTTAGGTTTTGTTTCCCAGTCTTGGCTATCATGAATAATGCTGCAATGAAAATAGGAGTCCAGTTATCTGTTCAAGATGGTGATTTCATTTACTTTGGCTATATACCTAAAAGTAGAATTGCTAGATCATATGGTAGTTTTATTTTTAATTTTTTGAGGAACTTCTATAATGGTTCTACATTCCCACTTGCAGTGTACAAGGGCTGTCTTTTCTCTATATCCTCACCTTTTTATCTCTTGTCTTTTTGGTAACAGCCATCTTCACTAAAATGAACTGATGTCTCATGGTTTTGATTTGCATTTACCAAATGAATAGTGATATTGAGTGCTTCTTCATATACCCGTTGGCCATTTGTATGTCTTCTTTGGAAAAATGTCTAATTCAGTTCTTTGATCATTCTTTTTTTTTTTTTGCTTGTGAATTCCTTATGTATTTTAGATATTAACCCCTTATCAGATATATGGTTTGCAGATATTTTCTCCCATTCCATAGGTTGCCTTTTCATTTTGTTGACTGTTTTCTTTGCTATACAAAAGCTTTTTAGCTTAATGTTATCCCACTTGTTTTCCTTTTGTTACCTGTACTTTTGATGCCAAATCTAAAAAGTCAAATCCAGTGTCTTAAAACTTTCTCCCAGTGTTTTCTTCTAAAAGTCTTTATAGCTTTAGCTCTTATATTTAGGTGTTTGATCCATTTTTAGTTTTTGTATCTGGTATGAAGTAAGGGTCTAACTTCATTTTTTTGCATAAGGACATCAGTTTTCCAAGCATTGTTTGTTAAAAAGATAAAAAAGATAGTCCTTTCCCATTGAATGGTCATGGCATCCTTGACCATATATGCAAGGATTTACTTCTGGAATATCTTCTGTTCCATTGAACTGTATGCCTGTCTTTATGCTAGTGTCACACTCTTTTGATTACTACAGCTTTGCAGTAAGCTTGATATCAGGAAGTGTGAGACGATTAGAGGCCCCTTGAGATTCCATATGAATTTTTCGGTGGATTTTTGTTTCTGCAAAAACATCATTGGGATTTTGATAGGAATTGCAGTGAATCTGGAGATCATATTTGATAGTATTGACATGTCAACAATATTAAATTGTCCAATCCATGAGCACAAGATGCCTTTCCTGGAGTCTTTTAAAATTTATTTCAGCAATGCTTTGCACTTTTCAGTGTACACGTCTTTAGCCTCCTTAAGTGTATTCCTCAATATTTTATTCTTTTTGATGCTTCTACTCCACTTTCAATGCCTTGCTTTTTTTTTTCCATCTAGCAATAGCAATAATAACATTTAAGACTGGGATGAGGATGTGCTCATAGGAAAGTTGAGAGGCTATGAAAAATAAAAATACAGCAATAGACTCCTTTATTTATTCATTCATATCTTTCAGTGTGTACACAATGGTTGGCGGTCCTTTTGAAAACTAGGGTATATGAATCTCCTGGTGCCAGAAATTGCAGTAGAATGTATAGGAAAGTTTAAAGCTTTTAACAATGAAATTATATATAAATTTTTAGCTCAGTAATATTCAGTATGTTTACATGTTTAATGTTCTTTCATTATAGCCTGCAGAATTTTCTTCCTGTCCACTGAACTCTGATGAAGACGTGAATAAATGGTTGCGTTTTTATGAGATGAAGGCTCCTTTGGTTTGTCTGCCAGTTTTTGTCTCCAGAGACCCCGTAAGTCTATGTCTGTCTTTTACATTGCAAGATATTACAGTGGTAATGCTTTTTAGAAAATTGTTCTTAATTAAGAACTAGAATAATTTCTAGAATTACCTTGAAAGGTAAGGAAGCAAGTAGCTGACTACTTAAAATCTAGGCAAAGTAGATTTTACCTTTGGAGAACTGAAGGCAAAAAAATTTTAAATAGCATCCAAAGTTATGTTATTAAATAGTAGAATCAGGACAGGATTCAGATCTATTTGCTGTTCTTCATACTATTCATTATACTCTAGTTTTCTACCCTTGAAAAATAATAATATAGTCTAATTTAAACCAAATATCTACTGCTGTACTGACTAGTTATATCTTTTGATTTAGTGATTACATGTCTAGGAATTAATCATTAAATATATACTTACATGATAAAATGATTAGTGAAAAGGGTTATTCATGACATCATTGTTGTAACAGCAGAAGAGCTGGAAATAATCTAAATCTCATTTGGAAAGAGTTAGGCAGCTCTCATGATCTTCCCTGGTGGCTTAGACGGTAAAGCATCTGCCTGCAATGTGGGAGACCTGGGTTCGATCCCTGGGTTGGGAAGATCCCCTGGAGAAGGAAATGGCAGCCCACTCCAGTACTCTTGCCTGGAAAATTCCATGAACAGAGGAGCCTTGTAGGCTACAGTCCATAGGGTCACAAAGAGTCAGACACGACTGAGTGACTTCACTTCATGATCTGAAAGCTATATTGTTAATTTAAGAAAACAACATATAGCATGGTACCTGCAGAATACTACCTATGAGTAATTAAAAATATAGATCTTTCTGGAAGGATATAGAAGATACTGCTTACTGTGGTTGCCTTTAAGGAAAGGAATGATGACGGCAGGAGTTGGAAAGATACATTTTACTGAATATAAACTTTTGCACCCTCTGAATTTTGATTCATGTGACTGTATTACCTACTCCAAAAAATTACTGTAGCCTAAATTAAAAAGGCCTCCTATCCCCTAAGTTCTTTGCCAAATAATTGGAAGACTAACAGATGGCTTCTGTGCTGTTCTAGGGATTTGATTTGCGGTTGGAGCACACTCATTGTTTCAGTCATCATGGAGAAGGTGGACACTACCATTACGACACCACCCCAGATATAGTGGAGTACCTCGGATACTTCTTACCCGCCGAGTTTCTCTTTCGCATTGATCAACCAAAAGAGACCCATTCATTTGGGCGAGATTAAATCATCTGGTACTTGTTTAGAAAAAGTAATAATTAACTAAGGTTAATTGATTGATTAACTCATTAATTGATACTAATATAAAGTCTAATAATATAAAGTCTAATAGAAATGTTCTCACTACTTAAGCCCTATTTTTGGGGGCCTTTGAAATGAAAGTTATGTTAACATTGGGTTCTGTGTTATTTCACGTATCTATCTGAGAGGGACTATTGGGAACACAAGACACGTGATAGAGATGTTCTTCATTATTTTTATTCTAAAAATCATTCTTATGTTTATAATTAAGTATAAACATGATTAAGAATCAAGTGATTATTCCTATTAGCTAATAGTAATTTACATTTGTATAACATTATTCAGTTTTTCAAATTAGTCTCACAACTGCTAAGTGGATGTTTCTGGGTATTAGAAAAATCAGTGTTGGAATGGTGGTTATTGTTAAATCTTTCTACTGAATTTAAAAATCCATTTTAGAATTCAGAGTACACTTTTTTTTCATGGAATAAGGCAGTCAGAGGGAGCACCTTTACTTCTTTTGGTGAAGTTGAACCATAATTAGAAGTTTGCAGTTTGCCTTTCACAAATGTCAGTTGGAAGCAGTTTGTATCTTGTTGGTTATTTGCAAGAAGAGAAGGGGAAAAAAAAGCATCGAAATATAACTTTGAAGTGTGTATAATGTATAAGTGAGTCTGTTGCTAAATATGACTACTGTCCTTTGTGAAATATAAAATTATACTTTACTGATTATAATGGTTGATATTTTCCTCAGTGTTTTTCTGTAATAATCATTTGCCAAAAACAACTCTCCAATCTTGTAATACCAACACTACAGATTTAAGAGCTTTTTAGTACTAAGCATATAATAAATCATCAGGAAATGTTGATTGTCTTTGGATGTTAACTATAATGTCCTATGTATAAATCCCTAAATATTACTTTTAAGTAAACACTAGTCTGTAACAAAAAAATGAATAAAAATTTTATGTTTATAATATGATACTGTGTTTCTATTTTATTTTTATTTGTGTATTTGGCTGTGTTGAGTCTTAGTTGAGGCACTGGAGATCAATCTTCATTGTAGCAGAGCAGATCTTTGGTTGTAGCATGGGAACTCTGAGCTGTGGCATATGGAATATGGTTCCTCCACTAGGGATCCAACCCGGGCCCCCTGCACTGGGAGCTTGAAATCTTAGCCACTGCACCACCAGGGAGTCCCTGTGTTTCGTATTAATATCTTACCTCCAAACAAAAATAATATTAGTATTCTTTCGTTTAACAAATACATACTGAATGAACAACATAGCCTATCCTCTGGAAACGTAGGCTCCATGGCAGGGGCTTTGATCACCATTATACACTGTGCCTTTAACAGAATCTGCCCAAAGTAGACACTCAATAAATATTTGTTGAATGAATGGATGAATGATTATGACAGATACTTCACTAGATGCTGGGATCGATCATTCAGTCCTTTACATGGTAGAAGGCAAATAAGCAAATACATATTATATCAGGCGGTATTCATGCTCTGAAGAAAAATGAAAGGCTGAAGGAGGATCTGTTTTGTTGTGGGCATCCCACGCTGAGAAAAGGTGGACTCCACACCCAGCTCAGTCGTTGAGAATGATGAAGTCACACACACCAAGGGGGTCCGAAAGACTTCATGATTCCCATAATGAGACTTTCTGGAGGTAGCAGGGCAGCTCCCAAGCAAGTCCACAAATGGCCTGAGAGAACAGGGAGAGAAGACTGGCTTGGGGGTTTTATGATGGTTAGCAGGTCGGGTCAGGGTGATGGTTGTGCATGCAGTTTGAATTTTCCACAGGTTTCAAAGCAAGAAGGAGTCAGGGTTTTTTTTTTTTTAATAATAATTTTATTTGTTTTATTTATTTATTTAGTTTTGGCTGTGCTGGGTCTTCATTGCTGCGCTGGCTTTTCTCTAGTTGTGGCGAGCGGGGGCTACTCTCCAGTTGCAGTGTCTGGCTTCTCATTGCGGTGGCTTCTCTTGTTGTGATGCACAGGCTCTGGGGTACACAGGCTTCCGCAGTTGCTGCACATGGGCCCAGTAGTTGCAGCTGCAGGGCCCTAGAGCACAGGCTCAATAGCTGCGGTGCACGGGCCTGGTTGCTCTGCGGCATGTGGGATCTTCTCAGACCAGGGATCGAACTCGTGTCTCCTGCATTGGCAGGAGGATTCTTTATCACTGAGCCACTCGGGCAAGCCCACAGCTAGGCTTTCTTATCACACAAACGTGGGGCAGAAGGGGAGGAAGGAGTGGGGCAAGGCTTAACATCTGTCAGCAATCAAACATCAGAAGTGGAATCAGGCTCTTACACATTTTATAGAGAGGGATCAGGTAAAGCCCCTGATAAGGAGACTTTTGAGCCAAGTGCTGAAAAAATGAGAGAGTGAGCCATGAGGTTATTTGTAGAAACATCCTTTCCGGCAGATTTAAAGGTTCAGCCAGAAGGGAACTTGGTAGTTTCAAGAAACAGCGAAGAGGTCATTGTGAACAAAGTAGGATCACCTGAACTCCATGAAGCTAACATCTACTGCATATTCTGAGAAGCAATTTTTAAAATACTAGCTAGATATAGGTATTTGCAAAATTATGTTAATACCATATTCACTTTAGGAATGTGACAAGGAAGCCCAATATCATTAACTATTGGAGTTTCAACCAGGAAAAAAGACAAGAAAGAACAGGTATAACAACTGAAAAGGAAGCAAAAAATCAGTTTTTCAGCAGAAAACATGGTTGACCTCTTGAAAACCCAGGAGAATCTATAGTTATCAGACTGAGTTCAAAGAGGTTCCTAAATGTAAATATTGTTGTTGTTCAGTCACTAAGTCATGTCTGATTCTTTGTGACCCTATGGACTGTAGCCTGCCAGGCGCCTCTGTCCATGGAGATTTCCAGGCAAGGGTACTGGAGTGGGTTGCCATTTCCTTCTCCAGGGGATCTTCCTGACCCAGAGACTAACCCCATATCTTCTGCATTGGCAGGTGGATTCTTTACCACCAAGCCACCAGGGAAGTCCAAATATAAATATTGCTCAGCCATAAAAAAGATGAAATATTACCATTTGCAGCAACATGAATAGACCTAGAGAATATCGTAGTATGTAAAATAAGTCAGAGAAAGACAAATACTAAATATCACTTAAATGTGGAATCTAAAAAGTAATACAAAAATCTATGTACAAAATAGGGACAGACTCATAGAAAACATACAGTTACCAAAGGAGAAAGGGAGTGGGGGTGAGGTGTGGGCAGGGGGACAAATTAGGAGCGTGGGAACAGATATGGGCTTCCCAGGTGGCACTAATGGTAAAGAACCCGCCTGCCAATGCAGAAGATGTAAGAGACAGGGTTTGATCCCTGGGTGGGGAAGAGCATAGCATCCCTGTTGGAGGAAATAGCAATCCACTCCAGTATTCTTGCCTGGAGAACCCATGGACAGAGGAGCCTCGAAGGCTACGTTCCATAGCATTGCACAAAGTCAGTCATGACTGAAACGACTTAGCACACACACATAAAATAGATAAGCAACAAGAATTTACTGTATAACAAAGGGAACTATAATGGAAAATAATCTGAGAAAAAAATGTATATAACTAAATCACTTGGCTGTACACCTGAAACTAATAAAATATTGTATCTACACTTCAATAGAAATAAAGTTTCTAAATGTAAAAATCAATATACCGTAATGAGTTGTGTTCCTGCATACCAACAAAAAAAATGGTTAAAAATATAAATTTGGAAGGAATTCCCTGGCAGTCCAGTAGTTAGGACCCCGTGCTCTCAGTGGCAACAGCCCAGGTTTGATCCCTAGTTGAAGAGCAACAGGGATCCAGCAGTGGTGCAGCCAAAACAAAAAAGTAAATTTGAAAAAGATACCAATTACATGTTACTAAAAGTACACAGCAGTATTTTTGTTTAACAAAAATTACATATAACCTTTATGGAGAAAATTATAAAATTGTTGAAAATGCAAAGAAATAAAAACAAACAGTTACATCTAGGAAGATGTAATCTCTAGAAGTATCAGCTCTTCTCAAATCTATAAATTCAATGTCAGTCTAGTCCCAGTAGGGCTTTTGATAGAACCTCACCAGTTCATTTAAAAATATATGGGAAAGCAAAGGGCCAAGATAAGCAAAGACAATTTTCAAGATAGCAAGGTCAGGGATATTTGAAAGATAGCAACATCTGTAAACTTGTTATTTAAGTAAGACAGTATGGTTTCGGTACAGTGGGGACAGTCAAACCAAGAGCAGAAGCAGGTCCTCACATGTGCAGATGCTTGATTTTTCTGATGCAGCAGATTGACGGGGAAAGGAGAATGTGTCCACAGAGTCCTGGCACAACCAGTCATTAATGTGGGGAAACCAAACCAGACTGAACTCAATGCCTGGCAAATTAAAGATCTACAGGTGAACAAGAAAACTTCTAAAGTTTTAGAAGAAAATATAGGAAGTATCTTTATGACCTAAGGGCATGAAAAGATTTTCTAAACAACATAAGGCACAGACTATATAAAAGATAAATAAATCTGATCTGACAACATTAAAATGTAACACTTGTTGGTCAAATGAAAACAGGAATAAAACAAACCACAGACTAGGAGAACATATTTTCAAAATATAGCTGATTATATTCCTGATGCAAAGAACTGACTCCTTGGAGAAGACCCTGATGTTGGGAAACAATGAGGGCAGGAGGAGAAGGGACGACAGAGTATGAGATGGTTGGATGGCATCACTAACCAGATGGACATGAGTTTGAGTAAACTCCAGGAGTTGGTGATGGACAGGGAAGCCTGGCGTGCTGCAGTCCGTGGGGTCACAAAGAGTCAGACTTAACTGAGTGACTGGACTGAACTGAACTGTTCAGGATGCATTAACATCTACAAGTCAGTAAGGAAAAGAGGAACTTCCAGTAGAAAAATAGGCTGGAATTATGAACTGGTATTTGGCAGAAAAACCAACGGCCAC